TCTTCTTCTTCTTCTTCTTCTTCTTCTTCTTCTTCTTCTTCTTCTTCTTCTTCTTCTTCTTCTTCTTCTTCTTCTTCTTCTTCTTCTTCTTCTTCTTCCTCTTCTTCTTCTTCCACATTCTTCACCGTATCAGTTTTCATATTCATATTCTTCTTACTATCCCACATTTTCCACATTTTTTTACAAGTGCATTATTTCTTCTTGAACCTCTGTCCTTTGTCTCTGTACTTTGTTTAATACCTTTCTATTTTTGTAGCACAGTATCTATTAGAAATGAACTTGCTCATAGTACCTTCTCTGTATATGCTCAGTAATCTTTTTAGGTAGATGTAAAACTTTACTTACTCTTTGTACCTGCTGCGTGTTTAAATCCTTTCTATTTTGCTCTATTGTAGAAGTTGACAAACTTTACCTTCCATTGTTCATCGATGCCAATAGGACAGCAAACAGTCTTCTTTTTCCCCTCTTGTATTCTATGGTTGCAACAATTTAGTTTTCTCTCGACATGTACCTAGCCACTCTCTAGGAGAAACCTCCTCCTCGAGCGTTGCTCTCCGTGCTGACGCACTGCTTGGCCTCGGGCAGGGAGCTGCACCTCGTGGCGGACGCGCTCAGGCTCGGCGGCGCCATCCTGAGCGTGTACCCCAACATGCTGGCCCCGCAGCTGGTGGGGCGTCTGCTGCCAGAGATCGGCGTCAACCCCAACGTGAAGATGCTGCTGCAGGACTGCGACAAGAAGGGCCCCGCCCACTGCGCGCTGCTGCCTCTGTACCACTGCCTGCACACGCCGGGCGGACCCCTCAAGGTATGGCGAACGAAATAAAGGGTACACCGAGCACGGTGGAAGGAGAGACCGGTGGAGAGAAACCGAAAGTCTCTGCCTTGGCTTTCCTTGAGAACTTACACAGCGTTTTATATGTGCATGTCGCCAGTACTCGCTCGAGGGTCACCAGTTCGCCGTGTTCGCCTTCTGCCTCACGGGCGACCTGCGCTACATCGTGTCCATCTCGAACCGCTTCATCACCTGGGACCTGTCCACGAGCGACATGACGCGCGACGTGAACCCCGGCCTGGAGGGCATCATGCAGATGCTGGTGCTGAGCCCGGACAACCGCTACGCCGCCGCCTTCACCAACAACAACCAGTCCGTGCTGCTCAACATGCTGACGAGCGAGTTCTTCCTGCTGGAGAACGCCCTGCGCGACGAGGAGCCCGTCGTGGGCGTGTACCTGCTCAACACCAACGTGCTGGTCTACGGCGCTGGGTCCTGGTGCCGCTTCGACATGCGCGGCGGCATCCAGGAGAAGGGCACCACCCCGGAGGACCCCAAGACCCGCCCGCTCCTGCTGCTCGACATGACCAGCCTGGAGGAGTATCGCCAGATTTACTGGAGCGGATCGCTGGATGACCCGGCCATGCGGCTGCGCACCAAACTGGTGTCCGGAGAAATTGAGCCTCTCGACTTCCACAGGTGAGGAAGGCCGTGGTTGTAGAGGATAATGAAATCCACGGATGGTACACTTTTGGGAAGGTAAACAAATACAATTTGGTTTTCTTTTGAAGCGCCATGGTGCTAACGGCCGACAAGAAGACCCTCTACTGCTGCACGGAGCCGGGCGTGGCGGCCGTCTCCAAGTACGTGCTCAATGCCGAGGCCGGCCGCTGGGAGTTCGAACGACGACTCCCCTGTCCCCGTAAGTACGCAGCTCAGGGGCTTCACGGCGGGGGGTGGGGCAGCTGCTAGCAGGTGGGGCTAACGAACGGGGCTCTGTCTGCAGGGATGGATGAGCGGGAGATGCTGCTGCAGCTCAAGCTGGCCCCCGCGCACGCCGCCCTTCTGGGCACGACCAGCAACGGCTTCATCGTCTGGGACCTGTCGAGGGACATGCAAGCCGAGCAGGACCCCATGGCCGACCCGCTCGCCGAGGAGGAGGAGGACGAGGAGGAGCAGGAACAGGAGCGCGACGCAGACGCGGCTCCGGAGGGCGAGCAACAGCAGCCCGAGGCTCAGGTCGACGACGTGGGGGCGCCCGCGAAGCGCAAGCGGCGCCGGGGGCTGCCGAAGGACTCGGCCACGGCCCTGTGGCTGCCGCACGGCACGCGGAACATCTCCACCAGGATGCTCTCGTCCAACTCCATCATGATCTCGGCGAGCCGCGACTACGCCGTGGCCGGGGTGCGCAAGAGCCTCTACGTCTGGAACCTCAAGGACGCGGCGCTGCTCAAGATCCTGGACGCGCACTTCGGCCGCATCATCCAGCTGGAGCCGCTGACGGTCGGCTCGTGGAACTCGGTCGTCACGTCCTCCATCGACCGCACCGTCAAGGTGTGGAACATCAACAACATCTTCGAGCAGGTGCACGTCATCGACAGGCACGAGCTGCAGATCGACTCCATCTGGTGAGGCTCGGACATGACTCCTGTGGTGAGCAGTTACTATACTTCTTCTTGAACTGACCGGTGGGCTCCGTGCGCAGTGTGTGCCAGGCCGCGGGGGTGGCCGTGACGGTGACCCGGGGCTGCGTGGGCGTGTGGGACCTGCGGGTGGGCCGCCTGCTCACCCGCCTGGCAGACTCGCCTCTCGGCGCCATCGTCACGCACGCCGCCATCACGCAGGACGGCCGCTACATCGTGTCGGCCGAGTCGGGCAACATCCTCATCTGGAACAGGCTGACGGAGCAGGTGAGGAAAGCTGTCAACAATTTACTTGTAAAACGTCCCCCGAAAAGGGGTGGTTGGTGTTGAACGGCCGTCCCGACCACACACCGACGGCCTCATGTTCTCGTTGCAGGTGCTCTTCAAGGAGGAGCAGCAGGGCGTGCGCCAGCTGGACCTGCTGGAGGACGGCACCCGCTTCCTGGCCGTGTCCAGGCCCAGCCCCGCCAACGCCGCACCCAACGCGGAGCCCTCCAGGGCCACGGCCACCGCCACGGCGCGCGCCCTGCCCAGTCAGTGTTTGCTTCTCGTTAGCGGCGCCACGCCCCGACACGCTATAGCGCGCAGCCGCGCACAGCGCACACAGGACCGAGCCATGCAGACTGCTGCACCAATATTTTTTTGCGCTCGCCCCCGTTTGCCGACGTTGCCGACCAGCGGTGTCCGCCAGGCGCTTTTGTTAGCGGAGCGGTGTTAGTTCTAAAATTTGGCCTTTAGCGTGGAGCCGAAAGTCTGTCCCCCGGGCGGTGCCCCTTATCTGTGGCGCCACAGTCATTCCAGCCCCCCTGCCCC